AAAAAAAAAAAAAAAAAATCTATTAGCAGAGGAGAAATTAATTGATACACTAACTAAAATATCTTATGAGAAATTAAGCCCTTTAATACAAAATCAAACAGTATCTCTTAGAGAAACATCAAAAATCATATATAGTTGGGCCAGGGATTTAGCTCTGTGGTTCCACTACCTGCCTGCCTCACAATCACAAAGTACAAGTTTCATCACTGGTACAAAAACAAAAAATTACATAAAGTTCATTAGTAAGAAGATTCATTTTGTATAAAGCAAGAAACTTGAAGTTAAGAAAATAAAAATATGGGCTGGGGATTTAGCTCAGTGGTCTTGCCACCTGCCTCTCAAGAGCAAGGACCCAAGTTCGATACCCGGTATCTAAAAAAGAAAGAAAGACAAATATTTCACTAAATAAATTTTAAAATTCTAGGGACAAAAATATTATTCCAAAAGTAGACAGAGGAAAAAGTAAACAGTAAAATCCCATTGAAATGTGGACAAATATAGAAAATTGGCACTAGACAATAAAAAACAAATCAAAATGATATTCCATATCAAGAAATGACCTCACTTCAGCCTATGATCCTTCATCATGTCTCTATTTCATCTGGTTAATTGCAGAAGCCCTCAGATATATGTTCTGTTCATAATGAAATCATTTTAACCCTCTCTATCCCTGTTCTAACTGAGCTTCGTCTGTCTCCACTTAAGTGTCTACAATGAACCTTACTTTGATGGGTTTGGTATTTGTCTTTTCAGAAAGGTAAATGCTTATATCAATGTATTACTCAAGTAAGCAAATTGGGCCGGGGATTTAGCTCAGTGATTCTGCCACCTGCCTCGCAAGTGCGAAGACCTTAGTTCGATCCCCCATACCAAAAAAAAAAAAAAAAAAAAAAAAAAAAAAAAAAAAAAAAAAAAAAAAAAAAATTACAAGCACAGGAGTATCTAAACTCTAGTATCTAGCTGGCTCTCAGTACCTCAGTTAAGTTTTTTGTCTTCCAGTTTCTCAGTAGCTTTCCTGCAGCATCTACTGGACTGAAAGACTTACCTGGATGGGTTTTGGGAAAGAAAGGTCTCTGCGTGCTTGCCCAAATTCTGCCTGTGTTAGTCTACTCGTAGAGTGAAGATACGCTGCCAACACAACAGGAAGAAGGGGTTGAGAACTAGTACTTGAGTCAGATACAGTAATCCGGAGTAAATGACCACATCCTACTCAGGCAAATATTTCACACACCAAAGGCCTAGGGAAGAAAGATATTTACAGCTCTTTGTGTATGTTCTTTGGGCACATTACTCCCTTGTTATTCAATCCTTTAGCACATAATTTCCCTGTGGAATTTCCTCTGCACAAAGCAATTATTCTTGCAGATTTTCTGTCCCAGGACACCAAATTAAAATTCAGGTAAATCGGTCTTATAACTTCTTATTACTTATTACTTGTTACTTCTTCCCAAGGACTATTCAGGCTTCAGTGATGTAAATACTGACATATAACCGTCAGCTAGTTTTGTTTAAAGTTTGACACTGAGAAATATGTCTTAAGTAAGTCTTTTGCAGCACCAAGGGCATGTCTTGTGTTGGGGACACAATCCCCTATATCTCCAGAAAATGTGCTATTCCTTTCTACAACAAGGATATCCACTCGGATCTTTTATATGAAAATGAGTACCACAATTCTTAGTTCACTATACATTTTCCTGAACAATTATAAGTAGTAGTAGTAACACAATCTAAGAATGATCGCTTCGTGATATACTTATAAAACATTTGATAACTCAGAGATCTACTGTATTTAGATATTTTATAAATATTCCCCAGAGATTAGTAACTTACAAAATTATTTTATTTGTTTTTTGCTGTACATTTTCTTTTTTATACTGGTATGTCTTTGTAGCAAAGAATCATACTCACTGTGGGAACATGATGCTTATATATAAAACCCATCACAATTTCCTTTTCAATCTCATTGCCTTCCCTTTCTTTGCCCTTCCCTCTGGCTCTTGGTTCCTTTCCCGTATAGATATTATTCCATTTGTTCATTTTCACTATAATTTTCTATGCAACTGTGGTTCTGTTCAGTAAATACATGCCTATGCCTGTTCCTTCAAGAGTTTTTTCCTATTGTATCTTCCAGCAGATTGTTTCTGTTAATGTTTGGATCTTTGATCCATTTTGATTTTATTTTAGTACATGGTGAGAGATATGGGTTTTGGTTCAACCTTCTGCATGTGGATAGCCAATTTTACTGCTACCATTTTTCAGTGAGGCTGTTCCTATGTATCTAGTTTTTCATCATGTTATTGTGAAAAACAGTTTCCCTTAAATTCATTCTCAGTGATTTTATTATTGGTTTACAGAAATACAATTGATTTTTGTGTGTTGACTTTGTATCTTGCAGTGGTACTGAATTTGGTTATTAGTTCTAGAAATCTTTCAGTGGAATATTTTCTTTGATATAATGTATCACGT